ATTATTTTTTTTTTTTTTTAATTATGAAACCAATATTTGAAAGTATTCTTTATTTTAACAAAAAACAAAATTATATATTTAGAAATTATGAAATTTTCAAATAACGTCACGTCACGTGAGTGCGAGTGAGAAAGCGAATAGCATGTACAAATTGACGGAACCAGATATCAAGAGTGCGAGCAAAAGATAGTAATGAAAATAACAAAGAAGGCAAATGGACTCTAGGATAGCGAGAAAGAGGGAGAGGGAGACTGAAAGAGAGAGAAAGAGCAAATTGTAAGACGTTGAAACATTCTCTTGTCAAAGACGAAACAAAAACAAGCTTTAATATTTGATATGATAACTGTACCTTCAGATGATTAATGAATAGTTATTCATAGTCAATATGCACATTGTTGAGTTTAAGACAGACTGGAAAATAGACAAATGTATAAACATTTCGATTGTGCTCTGCTAAGAGTCGAATTACAACTCTTTAATCTTCATAAGAAATTAATTTGTATTTTCAATAAACAATAAAAAATATATACATACATATATGGTGGTMTATAATTACACACAATGCTGGCAAGTAAATACAGCTTGACAAAGGCTTGACAATTTCAGTAGGATCGAAATTCGATTTGCATACAAATATTTTTTCAGTGGAATGTCATGCCGTGTTTCTACATTAGATATATATCAAATATATGCTATATATTATATGTTAGCTAACGACAATGACATCGCCACAAGTCAATTGCTGCTGCTGCTCTAGTGTGTCGTCCGTTCCACTGGGCAGGCGAGAGATGTAGATCCCGAATCGCATTTTGCCGCTCTGCATGCGGGCGATGGTCGTGAGGGTCTCTGGAGAGCGTTCGCCGGTGCGCTGATTGATGCAGATCATGTCGCAGCGCTGGCAGGGACCGTCCACTTGGAAGAGAATGTCGCCGATGCGCAGCTGCGTGTAGGCCAGCTCCTCGAAGGGCGTGCCCGTGTCGATGATGATGTTGGCGCGAAAGCGATCCACGGTCTCGTCCAGCGACTCCTCGAACTGCAGCGAGCGCACCGAGGCCCGGTTGACCAGCAGGAACTGTGCCTGATTCACCAAGCTCAGCTGCTGCTGCTGTGTGCCCGGTGCGCTGCGCTGTGCGGATTGCCGCAGCAGACGCACACCCTCCAGCCCCAGGCTCTGGCTTAGCCAGGTGGCCACCTCATCGCCGCAGTCGTAGCCCTCGATGGCCTGGCGACAGACCTTGCTGTGGCAGCGCGCCGAATTGGCAGCCTGAACGCTCAGCGAGAGTGGCACGCTGCAGGACGTCTCCGCGTAGTGCAGCTCCAGTTGATCACCCACAATGCGTGGCTGTATCAGGCACAGATCCGTGCAGCGTTTCTGGGTCAGCGCCATGCCATTCATATCGACGATCATCCACTCGCGATCGTACTGCAATCCCTGCTTCGTCAGAGGCCAGCTGCCTGTGGAGCTGTCTATCTTGAAGGCAGCACAGGACTTCACCGGGTAAATGGCCAGCTGGAGGAGACGTGGACGCAAACGTTGGGCCCGCTGCTGCAGCGCCTTGGGCAGCAGCTCCGCCTGCTGCTCTATGAAGCTGAAGCGCTGCTGTGGCTTCGCGATCACCAGATAGCTGTTGCGCAGCATCTGGAGGAATCGATCAACGTCCTGAATGCGCGTCATGTAGCCGAAGGAAACGCGCACGGCGCCCGTCGGCTGTCCATCCAACAGATCGAAGTAGTCGCCACAGATGCGTCCGGCGCGCTTATAGATCGCATCCATCGTCTCGTCATTCAGCTGCAAAAAGTGCTGGCAGGCGCCCACGTTGCAGAAGCAGCCGGTGCGCAGCAGGATGCGATGCAGTGCCGCCATGCAGGCGACCTCGCCGAAGCCCACATAGTCCCCAGAGTCGGTGCGCACATTGAAGGCAACGGTGCCGCCCTGCTTGGCCCGATCCTCGTAGCCGGCGTGGTTATACAGCGTGATGAGCGGCGCACCATTGGGATGCTTTAGCTGCTTCAGCTGGTGCTCACAGTAGCGTGCCAGGCCATGGACATGCCGCGAGATGCGCTCGATGCTGCGACCCGGCACCAGCCGCTCCAGCGTGCGAAAGCCCTGCAGCAGCTCCACGATGGACAGGAATGGCAGTGTGCCGTCCTCGAAGCGCTCGTGGAATACGTTGCGCAGCTGATGCTCCATGGTGTGGGGATAGGCATAGTTAATGGTGCCGCCGCCATAGAATCGCTTGCGCAGCACCTCTGCGCCGCGTCGGCTCACCAGCAAACCGCCGACGCCCGTTGGATAGCCAAAGATCTTGTAGAAGCTGACGCAAACGAAGTCCGGACGGAAGCGCTGCAGGTCCAGCGGGCTGCTCGCGGCAAAGGCAGCCGCATCTAGGCAGACGTAATAGTTGCTATCGACGTCTTTCGCTGCTGGCTGAGACTCTGCACTCCAGACGCATTTGCCCAGTTGCTGCAGGCCGCGCCTTTGTATCTGCTCAATGACAGTCAGAGGCATCTTGTAGCCGCTGAAGTTGCACTGCGCCGAAAAGGTGACCAGAGAATTGGCCTGTGCCGTGGCAACTGCAGCTGGAGCTGGAGCTGGAGTGGACGGCTGATCCTGAACATTCAGCTCAATGTCGTCCTTGGTGAGCATATAGATGCCTTTGGCCTTGACCAACTGGCGCATGCCCAGCACTGAGGTGTGATTCTCCTGGCAGTAGTGAAAGTTGCCATCGCCGGCGAAATCAAAGTGCTCGGCCACCAGACGCAGTGCAGCCGTTGCATTGGCCGTGAACACAACATGATAATCATTGGCGTTCGTATTGAAGAACTCAAGAATTCTATGAAAGATAACAGTATTAACAAATCAACTGCAATTGGCCACAATAACAACCTTACCTGTAGCGCACCTGATCCACATAGTCGCCGGTGGCGCGACAGGTGTGCGGATTGCAAATAACATCGCGCTGCAGTTGCTGCGCCGCGCTCAGCACTTGGCTCTCGGCATAGAGTGTTGTGCCCGCATGATCAAGGTAGGTGCTCTCTGATATGAGAAGTGCATGACGTATCATTCAATGGGTTTCTTATCAGTGCCACTATTTCGCCATTCCTTCTCTACTCACCCCCCAGTCTAGCGAACTCTTTATCAATGAGCGCCTGCTCTTCAGCTGTAAACTCGGCTGTGTACTCGACCATTATTGCGCACTCAACTGCGGCTCCAGCGTTATTTATGGCTGCAATTTGAGAGTTAGCGCAGCAACCGGCAATTATAGAGATGTTACTCGATAGTTATATTTCAAAAAAGCGATCACTGTGTATCGCCATAAAACAAAATAGTACATATCGATAAGTTGCAGCACAATACCATTCATATCGATGAGTTACTGAATAACATCGATACGTTACCCAAAGTGAATATTTTAAAAATGATATGAATAATAAAATGGTCAACAAAAATAAAAATAAATTATTGTTACTTTGAAAATTAATTTTAAAATAATTTTAAATAGATTTTTCAATAAATAATAATTTAATATATTTTCAGTTTCAATTATAAGTGCTGGAAAACACCTAAAAGTATCAGCGCGCTATCGATAACAAGCAGCTGCTTTCGCCTCACTGCAAACACAATCGCAAGCCATACGCATTGTGTTTTCACTGTTGTGTTTTTATTTTTTGCAAACGTTTAAAGTTTCGGCAGCCAAACATGCCCAAGGAAAAATCGCGACATCGTAGTCGCAGTCGAAGTCGCAGCCGGCACAAGAAAAGCTCAGATTCGCACAGCTCTAAGCACAAGCACAAAAGCAGCAGCGATCGGCGTCGGGACAGATCCACAAGTGGATTGGAGCGTGGTCGAGAAAAGGAACGAGAACGAGATCGAGAAAGGAAACGAGAAAGAGATCGGGACTCAGACAAAAGTCATCACAAGCGTAAGGAGAAGCGCAGCAGGAGTCGACATCGCAGCTCGAAACGGGATAAGCATCACAAGGAGCATCGTGCACGTTCGTCCTCATCCTCCAGCTCATCCACGTCCACATCATCGTCGTCGTTGTCATCGGCAGCGAAGCACAAAGATCAAAGTGCAGGCGGCAAACCGGCAGTCAAACGCGGCACTGAAATGAATTCCATAAAGTTGCTGCAATCGCTGGAGGAGCGTCGATTGCGCGATCAGCAGGAGCGCCAGCGGCTGAAAGAGGAGATCAAGGCGAAGGAGACGCCTGAGGAGAAGCGGGCGCGTCGCCTGCGCGAGAAGCAGGCCAAGGAGCAGCGGCGCCGCCAGCGCATGGGCTGGGACAACGAATACCAGACGTATTCCAATGAGGACAATCCCTTCGGAGACTCCAATCTGACCTCCACCTTCCACTGGGGCAAGAAGCTCGAGGTCGAGGGCCTGTCCAATCTGTCTAGCAAGACGGTGGAGGTGCTGTCGCTCCAAAAACAGCTGGAGAATCGTCGCGAGCTGGAGAAAGTCAAGAAGCTGCGGCAGGAGCGTGAACTGGAGCGGCAGGCGCGCGAGGATGAAGCCATGCAGCAGCAGCGCGCCAAGGAGGCGGTCCAGTTCCGCGAATGGCAGCGCCAGGAGGACCTGTTCCATCTGGAGCAGGCGCGTCTGCGCAGCGAGATTCGTATCCGTGATGGCCGCGCCAAACCCATCGATCTGCTGGCCCAATATGTGACCGCCAGCAATACAGAGACGGACCTGGAGGATACCCTGGAGATGCAAATGCACGAGCCGTACATGCTGCTGCACGGCCTGAGCATCGAGGAGCTGGAGGATCTGCTGGTGGACATCAAGGTGTACGAGGAGCTGGAGCAGGGCAAGCACATTGACTTCTGGAACGACATGGTCACCATTGTCCAGGACGAGCTCAAGAAGCAGATGAAGATCCAGCAGAACGAGGCGAACTCGCTCAATCAACGGCGCGACGGCATCCACCAGAGCGTCGTCAAGGATGTGGCGGATATCTTTAGGGGCAAGAACGCCAAGCAGCTGGAGGAGATGCGCCAGCGCATCGAGGCCAAGATTAGCAGCCGTGCCGACGGCGTGGACATCAGCTACTGGGAGAGCCTGCTCTCGCAGCTGAAGGCGCACATGGCGCGTGCCCGGCTGCGCGACGCTCACCAGGCGCTGCTGCGTGAGAAGCTGCAGCAGCTGAAGCGCGAACCCGATCCTCCCACTGTGGTGGAGATTAATTCACCCTCGACGATGAAACAGGAATCGGATCAAGAGATGGACACAAATGCCGGGGAGGAGCAACAAATGGATCAAGAGTCGCCCGACGAGGAGGAAGACCCCAACGATGAAAATCCGCTCAGGGAGCTGGAACGCGCCTGTGAATTGTACCGACAGGGCAACTACAGTCCCAACTACATACGCGAGGAGGACTTCAGCGGTCGTCGGCTGACCGCCGCCGATGAGGACAACATCGATGGCGGCCTCTACACGGGCAGCGACGATGAGGAGCGTGTGCAGCGCCAGCGGCTGCTCTTCGTTTATCCGGAGCGCGGAACGGATGTGGCGGAGCTGACGCCGCAGGAGCTGCGTATGCGCGGCGAGGCACGCAAGGGCATGCAGGGCGACGAGGCGGAGTTCAGCGTGGAGACCACACTGGACTCAGTGCCTCAGCTGGCCACCGACAAGTATCGTCCCCGCAAGCCGCGCTACTTCAATCGCGTCCACACGGGCTTCGAGTGGAACAAATACAATCAGACGCACTACGACATGGACAATCCGCCGCCCAAGATTGTGCAGGGCTACAAGTTCAACATCTTCTATCCGGATCTCATGGACAAATCGCAGACGCCGCAATACTTCCTCACGCCCTGTGCGGACAATGGGGACTTTGCGGTGCTGCGCTTCCACACGGGGCCGCCGTACGAGGATATCGCCTTCAAGATCGTCAACCGGGAGTGGGAGTTCAGCTACAAGCGGGGATTCCGTTGCCAGTTCCACAACAACATCTTCCAGCTGTGGTTCCACTTCAAGCGCTATCGCTACAGGCGCTAGGCGGCCCACTTTATTTGCAGTCCTCTTTTTTTTTGTAATGATAATAAAATAAAATATTTTCTAGTATGTGTTTATTTGGTATTTAGTACGTTGGTTCCTTGGCTTCTCTACATGATGCTGCAGTCCTTGATCGGCGCCTGCTGCACTGGCTGCAGCGGCTCGCCGCGCTCAGCGCGCTGCACCTGGGCGAGCACGCTTTGGTGCTGGGGAAAGGCCAGGCTGGCCAGCTTCGAGTGCACCAGCTGATCGTCGATGGTCACCTCAAAGGCGCCGCGTCGTCCCTGGTGGCAGGAGACCTGCACCCCAGGCGCTGCATCCACCAGAAATTGTCGCAGCAGCTGGCATTGCAGCGAGAAGTTACAGGTTCCACTGTGAATACATACACATATATATTCATATATATATATTTGTTTGATCCAAGTTAATTATCTTTGCAGCTAACCAGTATTCTACATCCACATTGACCATTGCACAACCATAAACAAACCGCCGATTAGGGATATTCCTCCTATTGAACTACAAATAATAAACAAAAATAAAAAAAAGTCAAAAGGATATTCCTCTCGGTAAATTATATTTATATAAGAAAGGTTCAAATAAAATCATAAGGTAACGTACATAAAATGGTAAATGAAAATCCACAGTGGCTGTGCCTATATTAAACTATTCAAATTTAGCTTCACGTTGATTTTATATATTTAAAATCACTTAATTACATCTGATTTGTATACCCTGTCACTTATTCACATAAATATCTGATTTTATACGTTAGAAAGTAAAACACTTGGTCACATATTCAATTGTTATTTATCGTTGTTTATAAATAAACACCTAATGCTTATTTGAAAATAAATTTTAAATAGTTTTTAAAGTAAATAATATATTTAACTAGTTACGTCAAAGGAACAAAATATAATTTTATTTTCATTTCATAAATGCGTCAGCCTACTTATAGAACAGCAGATAAAGCAAGGGAATGCCTTTCATACGAAATATCGTTTAAATTTGCTACTATCGATATTTTACTCATAGCTAAACAATTTTACAACTATCGAGTTCTAGAGATGTGAACTCAGCCTTTATTAGCGCGCGCACGCAGCAATGTTTTACAGGCGGCATTGTGTGTCTTCAGCGGTAGCTCATCTGCAAAGCAGGAGAGGATTAGACAGTGGTTAAATTGTGTTATTTAAATTGCTTACAGATCTTCGGCTCGCCCTGCACTGGTAACAGCACCGGCAACTGCTCCGGTCTGGAGCATACGAAAACATAGGGACTGTCGGATTCGCCCTCGGGATAGAGCTCACGATATTCCTCCTGGGGCAAACAGCTCTCCACATTTACGCAGCCCAACAGGCTGCTGGTGGGATAATGTGTGGGAAACTTTATATTCTCGTCTGAAAGAAACGTGAATTGCATTATTTGTGCTGTTCTCATCGAGCTTAGCCCAATACCCACCCTTGTAGAGCTCGCGATAGAATTGCTCCAATTGTGCTATGTCCTCGGCATGCGGCTCCTTGGCCGTCGAGGCGATCCACAGGCGGCCGCGATGCTCACTGTACCAGACGCGACCCTCGTGCCTGAAAGGGCAATCAGATTATTATATATACAAATAATATATATGAATATATAGAACTCCAATACTTTTTTATGCCGGCCACTAGTAGCGATGCCCATGGCTGATGCATGGAGAGGCATTGGCGCATGTCCTGCATTTCGAGCAGCTCCTTATCCTGCACTCGATTGTAGATGCGCTCCAGTCCGTCACCGACGATCGGGGCGGGCATATTCTGGAGCTCCTTGCTGGCCTTGAAGACGGGCGGCTTGGTCACGTCGAGATTTGGCGCTAGTCCCAGAGAGGAATGACCAGTTAGTCCGTGGCTCTGGCCCTGCGATGCAGCCTTGCTGGCCGCAGCCAGCTGGCGCAGCACCAGCTGCTCATACTCAGTGGTAACCGGTGGCTCCTCGGGCAGATTGCGGCCAGCAAAGTCCACCTTGATTTTGCGCTTGAGCCGACTGCCGTGCTTCATCTCGTGCATTTCGCTCTTTAGCTGCTCGAATTTCTCGCGCTCGGCATCGGTCAGCCAGACGGAATTCTCCTGGAAGTAGTCCAGCTCATCATCGATGACAGTTGTGCGCTTCTCGCTGTTACGATCGTATTCCAGCAGACGATCCCGTTGCTCCAGCGCCTGTTGCAATTCCTTATTGGACTTGGCAGATGCTTTTTGTTGTTGCTGCTGCTGTTGCTTTCTCTGCGCCTTCGTCTGGCCCTTGGTGCTCGCCCGATTTGAGGCCGCGGCCTTTGCCATCTGCTGCTCCTCCTCGGCAGTGTAGACGGGTTCGCCGCAGTAGAGGCACGGTCCGCTGCCCTCCTGCTCGCACACAATGCGCCCGCAGCCTAAGCAGTTGTTGATCAGCTGGTGCTCGGTTACCTGGCAATCGCAGCTGCGCCGGCCCTTCAGCAGCACGCTGTTGCCCACGATTTTGCCATCGCCGGAATACAGATTGACATGTTTGTTCTGTTTCTTGGCTGCGCCACTGCTGGCTTTTTGAACAGGTGGGGAATTGAAGGTGGGCGGCGATTTCTTTTTGTTATTGCTACGGGGCTGTTTGCCACTGAGTAGCATGTGGCGGCAGTTATGCAGAAATAAGCGATGCTCCTCGACGTCTTCGCACAATAGGTTGCCAAAGTAGTTGTCGAACTCCTCATCATTTTTGATGGCCAAAATGGTGCTGGAATTCGAAAATACGAAATTAGATGGGTTCAATGTAACCACTCCGCTACACCCACGCCATCATTTCTTTCGTAACCACACAATCCAGGCATTTCGACAACGTTTCACCCAGCCACTTTTCCATTATTGCTGATGAAATACAAACTAAAACAGAAATGAACAATTCTGAGTATGAACAGTGCAGAGTATGACTATCGATTAGCTATCGATAAGCTATCGCGGCTTAACATTTCAAAATGATAAATAATTAATTAACATTTGTGCCAATTAAAATAAGAAATGTTAAAAAATAAAACAATAAAGTTAAAGTCTGTTAAATATATATTGATTTACTGTGAAATGCAGGATAGAAATGTAAATTAAAAACTGAACGTGACAATCGTGACTGGAAGCAGTGTTGGTTACGGCCTTTATGGCCAGATGATACTACAAAGATACGGCAACGCTATGACAACAAAAATATGCGAAATGCAAGTATAAAACAAAATACAATAAATATTCGTGAGAGGAATGAAAACATTTTAAACGCTCTACCGCTCCCATTCGTGTTATGCTACTGCTTCCACTGTGATCTAATGTATAATAAATTTAATACTGTGCAAGTTTACGTTAAATAGTAACTTAAGATAAAGACGCGTTGTGTTTATTTAATTGGTTTGTCTCTCTCACTAGTGTCTATGTGTTTGTGTGCCTGTGTGTGTATGTTTAATATTTGTTGTAAACAACAAAATATAGCGCCAGGCTATAACAAAAAACTGCGGCTGCTTTTTGTGTTTCTTGTGTCGTTGTTCAAATAGAAAGCGCTGCCGACACACAGCACCATTAACTGCGGCCACAAAAACAACAGCAACAACAGCAAGAGTATTTGCAAAAAATCAAAGCAGGCGTCGGCAACAGCAGAGTGAGAGAGAGGAGTCGGAGAGTGGGTACGGTATCAAAGTCTTTGTCCAGACAGTTTAAGCAGCAGCATCGGCCGCCGCAGCAGCCACCCCAATTCTGATACTCATTCTGACAGCTGTAAGATTTGTCACACGCCCCGTTACTGAGGGAAGCTCTTCGCTTCATTGGTGCTCTTAGTACGGTTAATTTACGCTAACGGTATTCTGTAATAACCAAGCGCCGCTAACATTGCTGTTGCTGATTGCAAATTGTGTGTGTCGCCGTCAGCCATCCACGCTCGGGCTATCACACACACACACGCACACGCACATACACACACACTCTCTCTCTGTCTTTTCTCTTCATTTGCTCATATAGGAGCCCCATACGCCACGCCGCGTCTGACGTTTGTCGTACTTTGTAAAACGACAGCGTTGCGTTTATAGTTTCGACGCGCTCGACTCTGTATTTGTTAGTAATTTTTGTTTTTTGAAATTGTATTGAAAAGTTTTCCGCCTGCGCTACGTGTCATATGATTTGCCAAAAATAGCCAAGTAATAGAAAACAAACGAAAATTAAGGAGCGACTGAACAAAAATGCAGCAACATTACTAAAAAGAATATATATATAATAAAAATACAAATTCAAATTAAATTCAAAAGAAAAGAAAAAGTATTGTGCCCGTGTTTACGTCGGTGTGTGTTCGTGCCAGTTTTTTTTTTTTCATGTGCGTGAATGTGTTGTGAAGCCGGCATAACATCAGTGCAGTGAAACAGCTGAGAGAGCTAGCGACGGGCACACACACGCACACACACACTCGTGCAATAGCAACTGCAATAATAAGAAGAGCAAGGAGAACGAGCACTCACACAAAGGAACGAAAATGTATCGAATCGGTCCAATTGGACGCAAATCAAACTTCCATTCGCGCGAGAAATGTCTGATTGGACTCGTGCTGGCGACTCTGTGCTTCCTATGCTTCGGCGGAATTTTCCTGCTGCCAGATAACTTTGGCAGCGAGCGCGTTCTGCTCGTCTACAAGCACTTCCAGAAGGCCGGTCCGGAGATTTTCATACCGGCTCCACCGCTGGCCGCGCATGCGCCACGCGACGAGGATCCCCATTTCATAGGCGATCGCCAGCGACTGCAGCAAAAGATTAGCGCCGAGCTGGGCGATCTGCTGGACGAACCGCAGGCGGCGGGCGGTGATGCGATCGCCCAGGCGCCAGCGCCGTTGCCGGCGGCCCAGCAGGAGCAGCCCCTCGAGCAGGATGCGGCGCTAGATGCGGCTCGTGCGCCACCTCGAGTCTCACTGCCAGCAGCACCAGCCGCAGCAGCGGACCACACAACCAACAACAACAACAATCAGCTCGTGACCGAGCAGCAGCTCAAGTTGCCCATGGACTTGGCCAAGGATCTGCCGGGCGACACTAACGAACTGCGAGAGAAACGTGAGAAAATTAAAGAGGTGAGTTCAAATATCCACAAAAATAGATCGAATTTTACAAAAAGTAAATTAATAAACGTGTAAAGCACGCACGCCCCCCGCCCCTTTTCCCACATACTGATAAGCGCGTTTCTCTCTTCAGATCTTATGTAAGATTTACTATATGCTCTATATATGTACTACTATATACACACATGTACCAATAACTATATGTTCTCTATAATCTCTCGCTTATAAAAAAAAAGTTTGTTTTTTGCGCTCGCGTGTCATAAGCTTCCTCTTCTGCTCCACGTCTGTGGACTTCCGTCACTAGCAGAGCTAATGTTGACGGATGCTGCCACGGCGATAACTCATTGATGTGATCAAATTCTTATTAGATTTTGTCGCTAACTGCTGCTGCTGCTGCTGCGCCGCCTCCAAAGAGAGAGAGAGAGAGAGCGAGTGAGAGAGAGGGGCGTGCGTTGGCTGCTGGCATATTGCGGTAAACGCGAAGAGTTAAGCTTCGGCCTTGCGTGCAGAAGCGTGCCAAGCATTAGAGAGACGAAGATAAGGAGAGGAATGGTGAGCTGGGTAGGTGAAGAGAAGAAGAGGTAGAGAGTAAAACTGTTTTCAATACCAAACAAAAGTTGACATTGCTCATCGAGCTACACTTTAACGAATTGCATTGTAAGTGGCATATACACATACACATACATATCTGTGTATGTGTGTCTGTTAATGAATATGTACATACATATGTACATGTGTATGAACATGCAATATATTTGTATTTTATCTAAGGCTTCACTAATTGAAATGATTAAAGCGTACTGTGCTGCGCCACTTAGTCATGTAAGAACTGATTTGAATTTATTCGAAATGAGAATTCTGGGTGCGATGGATATGTGATAGTGTATGTAACAGGCACAGAGAGAGAGAGAGAGAGAGAGAGAGAGAGAGGTGGGTCCTTCAGGCTGTCTGTATATTCCTGTATGCCATAAGCAGCAGGGCTTGAACACAATGATCTCGTTAACCAGAAGAGCTAGGGATTTTTCAAAGTTTATATACTTTATTTCATATTATTATTTTTCTTTTTTTCGTTATAAGTTAACTCATTTACTTATCGATAATTTGATCAATAACTAATTCAATTTCCATTGATCAGTTGATCGATAATTTATACTATTTCCTTATTATCGATAATAATGTACTATTTGATGAAAAATCGTATGCCATTTTCTTATCAGCGTTAAATATCGACTATTAATTTTGTTTCTTAATTAAAATTTGATTGCCACAAAAAAAGGAAACTCTTCCTGTATTGAATTATCATTTTTATGAATATATGGATTTGTGAATATCTACCCCCGTTCCCCTAAATTGGAAAAAGTAACGTAATTCAGTAAAAACTAAGGAATTCGACTTCTAAATAAAATAAATAAAA